GTGCTGTAACCCTCCCAGACCAGCTGTTCTGAGGCTTGAGGTGGTAACCCTAGCACGAAGGGGTGAGGCAGGATGAGCGATTCCGCCGAGGGTGGGCACCCAGCTCGTGGCATGTGCATATAAAATATTAAATAATTCAATTAAAAAAAAACTTGTAGATATACAGACACAACACAATCAGGGCACACACCACTGTGGGAAGATATATATTTTTTTGCCCAGGAAAGGCTGAGGCTGTTGAGAGGCATCCCTGGCCACTGCTGCCTATGTTTGCAGGATAGAGTTTCAGCTCTAACTCCACGCTTTAGGTAAAGGTAAAGGTTCCCTTGCTCGAAAGCCAGCCGAATCCGACTCTAGGGTTGCGGTGCTCATCTCCGTTTCAAAGCCGAAGAGCCAGCGCTGTCCAAAGATGTTTCCGTGGTCATGTGGCCGGCATGACTAAACACCAAGGCGCACGGAACGCTGTTACCTTCCCACCGAAGTGGTACCTATTTATCTACTTGCAATTCCTTGCTTTCGAACTGCTAGGTTGGCAGGAGCTGGAACTAGAGACGGGAGCTCACTCCGTCATGCGGCAACTCAGGTCTCGAACTACTGAACTACCAACCTTCCACAGCCTGCAGTTCAGCGTCTTAACCATTTGAGCCACGGCAGCTCCTAACTCCACGCTTTATGTTAGGACTCAAAACTCACAGAGCTCTGTAACATCTGCTTGTCTGGTTTGGTTTCATGTTTCAGTCCATGCTGTTTAGCTACCATAGTTAATCATATGAAGGTCTGTAGTAGTATTTCCCCCTCTCCTCTCTCTCCTTCACGGTCAGAATAAAGAGAGTGGAAGGAGGGTCTTGCATGTAGCCTAACACCCCAAACCTCATTGCCATTTCCCTGCTATCTCTTATTTCTGTGCAGGGGCAATATACGGACACCTCCCTCAGCCCTGTCAAGTGCTGGTGCTATTAAATCCACAGAGTGGGTCGGGCCAGGCACTACACCTATTCAGGACCCAAGTGCAGCCGATGCTGACAGAAGCAAACATAGCATTCAGCATGTGTATAACTGGTAAGTGTTGCGCCTGAACAAGAGATCCAGAAAACCTGCAGCAATACTTCCTTCCACAGGGTGAGAGACTCTGGATCATGCTGGTTGGCACCTACAAAAGGGACTGTGCTCAACCAAGGTGCTGTCTTCTGTACCAGCTGCAATGTGCCAGTCAACATTAAGGTCAGACCCATGATACTATAGCCTAGCCTTGAGGTTACAGTGACATGGATCTATGCAGCCAGATTGTGTTAAAGTAGGGAGCCATCTTCTGGGTATGGGTACTCACAGCCACTTTATGTGATAGCTGTTGGTTCTGGTCCTTCTCCCCATGTACGCACCATGATACTACTGCCAATTTGTATCCGAGGGAAGGGGGGACTGACTGACAATGATTCCTGATGCATCAGAATAAGACAGGGAGCCATGGAGATGCAGAGCTCAAGCCCCTCCTGCTGAGCAAGTGAAATTAGCTGTGTGCGAGTCTGACGGCCTCTCTCATGGATCACTGCCTTGATGCGGTGAGGAGGCTTGCATGGCTCGATGAGGCTGTGGGCTATGCCGTGGAGGGCTATCCAGGATGGACAGGCCACAGCAGAGAACTCAGACAAAATGCGATCCACTGGAGAAGGAAATGGCAATCCACTCCAGTATCTTTGCCAAGAAAACCCCATGAACAGTAACAAAAGGCTAAAAGATATGACGCCGGACGATGAGCCCCTCAGGTCGGAAGGTGTCCAATATGCTACTGAGGAAGAGCAGAGGGCAAGTACAAGTAACCCCAGAAAGAGTGAAGCAGCTGGGCCAAAGCCGAAAGGACGCTCAGTTGTGGATGTGTCTGATGGTGAAAGGAAAGTCTGATGCTGGAAAGAACAATACTGCATAGGAACCTGGAATGCAAGGTCTATGAATCAAGGTAAGCTTGACGTGGTCAGAAATGAGATGGCAAGACTGAACATCGATATCTTAGGAATCAGTGAACTAAAGTGGACAGGAATGGGCAAATTTAACTCAGAAGACCATTATATCTACTACTGCGGCCAAGAATCCCATAAAAAGAAATGGTGTGGCCTTTATAGTCAACAAGAGAGTGTAAAGGGCAGTAATGGGATACAATCTCAAAAATGACAGAATGATCTTGGTCCGAATCCAAGGCAAACCATTCAGCATCACAGTAATCCAAGTCTGCGCTCCAACCACAGACCACCCTGGTCAAAGAAGAGGCTGAAGTGGACCAGTTCTATGAAGACCTACAACACCTCCTAGAACTAACATAAAAAAAGACATCCTTATCATCATAGGGGACTGGAATGGTAAAGTAGGAAATCAAAAGGTAACTGAAATAATGGACAAGTTTGCCCTTGGAGAACAAAATGAAGCCAGGCAAAGACAAACAGAGTTTTGTCAAGAGAACACGCTGGTCATAGCAAACACCTTCTTCCAACAACCTAAGAGGTGACTCTAGACATGGACATCACCAGATGGGCAACACTGAAAACAGATTGATTATATAATTTGCAGTCAAAAGAAGGAGAACCTCTATCCAGTCAGTAAAAACAAGACCTGGAGCTGACTGTGGCTCAGATCATGAGCTACTCATTGCAAAATTCAGACTTAAACTGAAGAAAATTGGGAAAACCACTAGGCCATTCAGGTTTGACCTAGATCGCATCCCTGATGAATATACAGTAGAGGTGAAGAATAGATTCAAGGGTCTAGATTTGATAGATAGAGTGCCTGAAGAACTATGGACAGAGGTTCGTGACATCGTACAGGAGGCAGCAATCACCACCATCCCAAAGAAAAAGAAATGCAAGAAAGCAAAGTGGCTTTCTGATGAGGCTTTACAAATAGCAGAGGAAAGAAGGAAAGCGAAAGGCAAAGGCGAAAAGGAAAGATTTACCCAACTGAACGCAGATTTCCAGAGAACAGCAAGGAGAGATAAGGAGGCCTTCCTGAATGAACAGTGCAAAGTAATAGAAGAAAACAATAGAATGGGAAGGACTAGAGATCTCTTCAAGAAAATTGGAGAAATCAAGGGAGCGTTCCATGCAAAGCTGGCCATGATAAAGGACAAAAACGGTAGGGACCTAACAGAAGCAGAAGAGATTAGGAAAAGATGGCAAGAATACACAGAAGAACTATACAAGAAAGACCTCAATGTCCTTGACAAACACGACGGTATAATCACTGACCTTGAGCCAGACATCCTGGAATGTGAAGTTAAATGGGCCTTAGAAAGCATTACTAACAACAAAGCTAGTGGAGGTGATGGTATTCCAGCTGAGCTATTCAAAGTCTTAGAAGATGATGCTGTTAAAGTGCTGCACTCAATTTGCCAGCAAATTTGGAAAACGCAACAGTGGCCACAGGATTGGAAAAGGTCAGTATACATTCCAATCCCAAAGAAGGGCAATGCCAAGGAATGTTCAAACTATCGCACAATTGCACTCATATCACACGCTAGCAAGGTCATGCTCAAGATCCTACAAGCTAGGCTTCAACAGTACGTGGATAGAGAACTACCAGAAGTACAAGCTGGGTTTCGAAGAGGTAGAGGAACGAGAGATCATATTGCCAACATTCGCTGGATTATGGAGAAAGCAAGAGAGTACCAGAAAAATATCTACTTCTGCTTCATTGACTATGCTAAAGCCTTTGACTGTGTGGATCACAACAAACTATGGCAGGTCCTTAAAGAGATGGGAGTACCAGACCACCTCACATGTCTCTTGAGAAACCTGTATAAGGGCCAAGAAGCGACAGTTAGAACCGGATACGGAACAACTGATTGGTTCAGCATAGGAAAAGGAGTACGACAAGGATGTATACTGTCACCTTGCTTATTTAATATATATGCAGAGTACATCATGCGAAATGCTGGCCTGGATGAATCACAAGCGGGAATTAAGATTGCTGGGGAAAAGATCAACAACCTCAGATATGCAGATGATACCACTCTAATGGCTGAAAGTGAAAAGGATCTAAAGAGCCTCTTGCTCAGAGTAAAAGAGGAGAGCGCAAAAGTGGGCTTGAAGCTCAACATCAAAAAAACTAAGATCATGGCATCCGGCCCCATCACTCCTTGGCAAATAGAAGGGGAAGTCGTGGAAGTAGTGACAGACTTCACGTTCCTGGGATCCCAGATCACCGCAGACTGTGACTGCAGCCATGAAATTAAAAGACGCCTGCTCCTTGGGAGGAAAGCGATGGCGAACCTAAACAGCATGATAAAAAGTAGAGACATCACCCTGCCAACAAAAGTCCGCATGGTCAAAGCAATGGTATTCCCAGTAGTCATGTATGGCTGCGAGAGCTGGACTATAAGGAAGGCCGAGCGCCGAAGAATCCACCACACCAAACTGGCTCTCAAACTGGAGATCAAATCAGTCAATCCTAAAGGAAATCAACCCTGACTGCTCCCTAGAAGGCCAGATACTGAAGCTGAAGCTCAAATATTTTGGCCACCAAATGAGGAGCACTCATTCACTGGAGAAGACCCTGATGCTGGGAAAGATTGAAGGTCAAAGAAGACGGGGACGGCAAAGGATGAGATGGTTAGAGCAATGAACATAAATCTGAGTAAACTCCGGAGGACAGCGGAAAACAGGAGGTGTCCTGTCTAGCGTGAGCTTGCAGCTGAGGCAAACGCTTTCCAGGTGTGAGTCAACGCACAGCCACTGAAGAGAGCTTAAATCGTCTTTATTTAACTTCACACGCATTCAGAAGATCATTTACTCACAATCGAGCTGATGGCTAGGTGGAAAGTTACATCTTGTGATCTAGTTCAGGTCATAGCCTTGGTGAGAAAAGAGATGGGCTTCCCCTCCCCTTGCAGTAAGGGTTGATGGACAAAGAAACGGAAAAGAACAATAAAACTCCTATCTTTGCGCCTCTGAGCTCAGGAAATTACTCTTAATGAGCTAGTCAGAGGGAAGCTTCTGGGACCCCTAACTGTGAACTACAATTCCCAGGTGCAACAAGTCTTAAAGATACAGAGCAGTTTTACTAAACTACAGATAACGCTGATTGGGGGCAGCACAGGAGGGCCTGGCATGATGTGGTCCATGGGGTCGCGAAGAGTCGGACTCGACTGTGCAACTGAAGAACAACAACAAAAGAGTCTGACTGTGTGGGAGAATGGAGCTGCCCATTTTGAGATGTGTGTGTGTGTGTGTGTGTGTGTGTGTGTGGACAGGCCTATATTGTTGAACACATGCTTATGCAAGGTAATGCCACCCACAAGTCATACAGGCTCTTTTTGCTTCTCTTTAGAGAAACACAACCATGCTTGGGAACTGGTGAGGGAAGAGAACTTGTCCAGGTGGGATGCCTTGGTCACTATGTCTGGGGATGGCTTGCTGTATGAGGTAAGGAGGGCAGATGGACCACTGCCAAATTTTGGGTTCTGGCTTTTCCTATTATGCCATGACACTGGATGTGCCTCCCACCCCCATCCCCATGGTAGAGGATCAGATGCTGCCCCATTGCTCAAGATGGACACATGATAAATAGGATAAATGAGCTTTGTGAGTCTTGCTGCTAGTGTTTCATTACATCTCCCATTTATATTAAGTTTCAGTTTGGTAGTTTTTGAAATTAATACCTACATGTCACTAAATCCCATTAAACATTTGATCCTGCTTCCCAACCCTTTAATAGTCTATAGTTCACAACCTCAGTACTGGGCCATTGTGACCTGATGTCATGCTACACAGGTTAACTTATATGTAGCAAAGGTCCACTGAGTAAGTCCATATGGATGCAATTCTGCCTTCACAGTACAGGATCAATTGCTCACTGCAGAAACTGCTCGGTCGGGAATCTTCCAGAGTGTGTTTCTAGTCCTCACAAGTTGTGGAAAAATGGAAAAGAATAAGCAATCTGCTAATCATTCACCAAACCAAACTTTGATGTGGAATGTTTAAAAATTTATTCTGAGTACAATATTTCCCCTTAATTGCAGATTTTAATAAAGAAATCTAGATAACCCCCCTTTGAGTAACAATGTAAAACATCTGTCTTATTTTATGGTATCTGTCTTAAAAAAACAAGGAATATCAAATTGTATCTTTGAATACAGTGTTGAGCTGAATGCTTGCAATATTGTATATTTGAAGACAGTAGGTTTAAATCCTGTATTGGCAGAGCTATGTGCAGTTGGAAGAGCTGGCAAGAGCACTGACCAGAGCTGAGGAGGGCTGGAAAATAAAAGGTGGAAACATTACTTTGACTTGCCCATTGCGTACACTTACTGGTCCAGCACTTTCAGTTTCTGACTGCCAGATACATCCCAAAACCCAAATGCTCCTTATCTAAGACTGACTCAGGCCTGGCTTACACATGCAACAGAATGAGGTGGTAGAATGGACTGAGCCATGTCAGACTGTAGGTGGGGGATACAAATTTTTTAACTCTTCCCTATCAGCAAAACTCCCTGCAACTAGACAACCAGATCAGCATGCAAAGGCCAGCAACAGAACTATTTCTCAAAGTGTGCTAGCTTTCTACCTTCAGGGAGGTCTCTTTTTAATGTGTGGAACATTCACATTCTCTCATCTGCGAGATGAAGTGATGCAGTCCGACTCATCATGTTGCCATTTAGGGGTGTGCAAAAAAAAAAAAAAAAAAATCGGCCCATTCAGATTCCATCGAATGGGCAGAATCAATTTCTGCTGGCAGTAAGACTCCAGCATGTCAGTTTCGTCAGTAGGAGCCAATTCGGGAGTCTTTCGGCCAGCCGAATGTCAATTTCAGCCCCATTATATCCTATGGGCCATTGAAGTCAATGGCGAAAACATAGAGTATATTCTGGGGGCTGGAGGGGACGGGGATTGAGGGAGAGACTCTGAACTCTCAGGGTAGCTGCTGGAGCCTCTCCCCAAGATACCAACCAAGTTTCAAGAGCATTGGACCAGGGGGTCCAATTCTACGGGGCCCCAAACAGGTTGCCCCTATCCCCTCCATTGTTCTCTATGGTGGGGAAAAAGTTACTTGGGTTTTTAGATAGTTGTGGGTCTTTTTTATTTTTTCCCTAGATGTAGTTCCCTTTCCCATATTTTCTGTTGTAGTTTTGTAGTCTGCAAAAAAAAATCAATAAAAACCTCCCCCCAGGGGGATGGGGGGAAAAAAAGAACAATGAAGGGGATAGGGGCAACCTGTTTGGGGGTCCGTAGAATTGGACCCCCTGGTCCAATGTTCTTCAAACATGGTTGGTATCTTGGGGAGAGGCTCCAGCAGCTACCCTGCGAGTGTGGAGCCTCTCCCTCAAACCCCTTCCCCTCCAGCTCCCAGAATATACCCTATGTTTTTGCCATTGACTTCAATGGCCCATAGGATATAATGGGGCCTAATTGCCACCCGAAAGGGGTCCAAATGGGCCATTTTCGGGGGTGTATTTGGTTTGGACAAACCGAATGCACATCCCTATCGCCATTCTTTCATTTCATTCTGCTGACTGTGTAGACCCAGCCTCCCCAGAACCCAAAACTGATGTGCCCTTGAGATCTCATATGCCACACCATGGAGCTGAGCATTAAAGTGACATGTCATTTATGTGACAACCATGAGATTCACCATGCTGCTGCTGCTGCTGCATTGCTACCAAAGCCAGGCCCACAGCTGAAAAACACCTTTGCTTGTGCTCTTCCCTCGAACCGCCTTTTGAGCAGCCAGCTTCTTTGTGTCTTTGCAGGTCATAAATGGACTGATGGAGCGTCCTGACTGGGAGACTGCTATTCAGAAGCCTCTTTGCATCCTCCCAGCAGGCTCTGGAAATGCCATTGCTGCATCTCTCAATTACTATGCTACGTAAGGGATTGCAAGCAAATTTGTGTACCAAACATTGGAGCTCTGTTTGTACTTGTCTGGGGATTCTGCTTGTTCTTAACTGCATGGTACAACTGTGCAATGTGAAAGCTGTTGCAGAATTCAGCATCCTGGAAATCTCCAGACTTCTCCATGTAACTTTGGGCTAGGTAGTGACAGCTTGAAATCACTGCCCTCATTGGCTTGCTGCTGCTGGCCCCGCCATGCAGCTATTTTTTGCACTATCTTCTGCAGTCCCTTTAAAGTTCAAAGGGACTGCAGAAGGCAGCCTGAAACAGCTACATGGTGTGGAGTGCCTTCCCTGCCCTGGGCAGCTGTTTTTCATGCTGTTTTGCAGTCCCTTTAAGACAGCCCCAAACAGCTGTGCAGCGGGGAGCCCTGCCTGCACAACTGTTTTTGGGCTGCCTTCTGCAGTCCTTTTAAAGTCCCTTTTAAAGGGACTGCACAAGACAAGCCTAAACAGCTGAGACACTCAGCTGGTTTTTTTGGCTTTTTTGCAAACCCCATTTAAAGAGACTGCAGTCACTTTTAATAGGGTTTGGTGGACCGCGAATCATGAACCAGTTCAGTTCATGGGCACTCCATGAAACTGCAGAGCGGTCGGGTTAGAACGGATAAAAGGAAGTACTTCTTCACCCAAAGAGTGATTAACACATGGAATTCACTGTCACAGGAAGTGGTGGCGGCTACAAGCATGGACAGCTTCAAAAGGGAATTAGATAAGCATATGGAGCAGAGGTCCATCAGTGGCTATTAGCCACAAGGTATAGATAGGGGCTCTGGGGCAAGTGATGCTCTGTCTTCTTGGTGCTTGGGGGGAGGGTCAACAGTGGGAGGGCTTCTAATGTCCTGGCCCCACTGCTGGACCTCCTGATGGCACCTGGTATTTCTGGCCACTGTGTGACACAGAGTGTTGGACTGGATGAGCCTTTGGCCTGATCCAACATTGGCGTCTCTTATGTTCTTATGTAGTTAGTTAACGAACCTCCCAGTTCAGTTTGTGGCTCAGTTCATGGTTCAGCCACAAACCATAAACTGAACTGCATTTTCCTGGTTCATGCCCATCCCTAGTAGTAGTGCCTGCACATGAGTGGCTCAACAGGCAGAGAGCCAATGGACACAGGCTTCAAGCAAGCCCCCATGAGTCTATATGGTTGCATGAACCAACCCTGGTCTCTCTGTTCTAAAGCAAGTATCTAGCTTTGTGAAGACAAGCTCAAATATTTGTCAATAAGGCTTGGTAAAAAAATATCTCAGAAGCTGGAGGATGGCCCAGCACGTTGTGGCTCTTTAGTGCCCTGTATTGTTCCTCCTGGCTAGTAAAATAGTAAACAGAGGTCCCGGTCACACGGGCCAGAAAATGCAGGGGGGAAGCGTGGCTGTTTGCCCCGGAACAAAGTGATGCGCGGCAGCCCGATCAGACGTCCTGTCGAGGTCCCATGGTTAGGCGTTAGGTGCTGATCAGACGGCTAGTCTGCAGCGCGGTAAAGAAGCAGCACGGAGCGTTCACATCGGCAATCGTGCCACGCCGCTTCCGTGGCAAACGGGATTTTTTTTTTGTCTCACTGAAGTTTGTGCCTGTGCATGATCATTCGTGCGCATCCTGTGGGGACTTTTTTAAAAATCCGGTTTGCAAGGGGACATGGGCGCGCGCTGGATGCCATGGGTTTCCAGCGGAAACGCGGTCAGACGCCTGCCCTTGCCTCACGTTTCCCGGAAACTAGTACATTGTATGTGATGGTTTTTTACTCCGCATCTTCGGCAACAAACCACGGGTTAGCCACGGGTGCACTACGCTTCCCAGATGTTGCCGTGTGATCGCGCCCAGAAAATCTGCCTATCATCCGTGTCTTCAGCGTGGCAACTTCTCCGTGTGAATGGGGCCGTTAGTAGTAAGCACCTGTGTGCATTGTAATAATATGGCAGCATAATGGAGGGCTTAGTGCCAGACTAGGGCTTGGGATTCTTGAGTTCAAATACCTACTTCTTTGTTTAGCTCACTGGGTGACCTTGGGCCAGTCACTCTGTCTCAGCATCTAACCTAAAGCAAAAGATAACAGAGAGGAGGAGCGAACCCTTATAAAGTGCCCTGAACTTTTGGGAGGGAGGAAGGGATAAAAGCAGGGCTCTTTTTGTAGAAAAAGCCCAGCAGGGACTCATTAGCATAATAGGCCACACCCAACACCAGAAGCTCATTAGCATATTAGGCCACATCCCTGACAGCACAGCTCATTGGCATATTAAGCCGCACCCCCATGTTACCAGAAGTGTGGTTATCCAGCCACACCCACCTTTTGCTTCTTATTCTGTTTACCTTGTTTGTTGTCAAAACCCAGGGCTTTTTTCGTAGCAGGAATCCTTTTGCATGTTAGGCCATAAACCCCTAATGTAGCCAATCCTAATGAGTTTCTGCTGTTGGGTGTGGCCTATTATGCTAATGAGTTCCTGCTGGGCGTGGCCAACTTGGCAGCCAGCCGGAACTCCGTTCCTGTGCGTTCCTGCCCCAAAATAACCCTGGATAAAAGAATCTGATAAATAGATGCCACATAACTTTTCTTAGCACAGTTTGGGTTGCCTTCGTGTAGTACCTAGCTTTGTGTACTACTGCTCAGTAGATGCAGCTCCACCCATAGTATGTGGCTGGTAAGAGCAAGAGATTTGTCCACTGTGTGATAGGACTGGGTTGTGGGTTGTGATGGGGAGAGCCCTCACTGCTGCTCACTCTCATCCTGCTTGCCCCCCTGAAATCATCTGCCTGTTCTTCAGGCCCAAATCAGATAAGCCTTTGAGAGTTCCATATATAGAGAGTACCCAAGTGTTGTTTTTTACATAGCAAGTGCACAGCACCCCAGTTTGGGGCAGCGCCATAGTAGGAAGGGTGTTTAAGCTGGGACAAACTGCAGCTCTACTGAGCTATTTTAGTAGGAAAGAAAATGTCACAAACAGGCACCCCTGGTTTTTTTTTTTTTTTTAAACCTCCTTGGGAGAGCTACATGTCAAGTTCCCAGCATCTTAACTGGTTTGGCCCTCATTTTACCCATAAGTATCAAAGTGCACCACTTAACTGATCTATGACACATAGATCTGATATTGAGTCATATTTTTACATCCTGTTCACTAAAACTCAGGGGTCGTTTCGTAGAAAAAGAGCTAGGGGGACTCATTAGCATAACTCATTAGCATATGCCACACCCCCTGACATCACCGGAAGTGTGTCATAAGGCCACACCCACAACTCAGTTAGTCTTAGTCTTAAAGGTGCTATTTGAACTTTTGGACTATTTTGCAGCAACAGACTGACACAGCTAATTCCTCTGAATCTAAACCCACCACTCAGGCTCCACCCCCAAAATCTCCAAGGTATTGCCAACTCAGAGCTGGTGAGTCTATCTGATGGCACATGTGGGGGAAAACAAGCAAACCACCCATGTCAGGTAAAAAGGATAGAAGTTCAACACAATTTTATCTATTTTCAGTAACTAGTTTGTTGAGAGAAAAGCAACAACAAGCACATCAGTGAAGACCTAGTACGAGAGTGCCAAAAAGGAAAGCTGTTTGGTAATAGATGAAGTACAAAATATGTAGCTATTCACATTCCAGTTACCAGGAGTGTTCCCTCTAAGCTGAATTAGTGTGAGCTAGCTCATAGCTTTTAAGCCTCTGGCTCACATATTTTTCTCTTCACTCAGGAAGGAGGGCTCCAGAGGCAAACTAACTGATGCAGTAGCCAAATCAATCGCTCACAGTTTTAATGCCAGTGGCTCACAAAGTAGAAATTTTGCTCACAAGACTCCACAGCTTAGAGGGAACATTGGTAGGCAATTCCAGGGAGAAAAAACAGCTATAAACCAAAACCAGCTATAAACCAAAACCAGCTATAAACCAAGCATGGGGGCAGATGACCACATTGCTACGGAAAATACACAGAAAATCCAGGCATTTATAAGCGGTGGACCTGCAAGTCTGGCAGGAGTGCGAGGAAGCCCCGCGAAGCCCCCCCGGCCCCCAATGGTCCCGGTC